TTTTTTTTATCGCCATTCTCGAACCTGCATATCTATTATGAACAAAAAATATCCTTCTAAAGTAAATAACCTCTTCAGAGTGAGACATTTTAAACTTTAGTGGTGTACTATTATGCTGTTATTACACTTTTTTTTTAGGTTAATATGGGGTATTATCAACAGTAAAATACTGTGAAACCTTTTACTGCATCATACTTTAAATTATGGTGCAGTGTGTGAAAATGTTGTAGGCTGGGAAATAATTGTTGTTTTCGAAGGGCTACTAAATTCCATCACACAGGATATACAGTATTTTTGGGAGTGCCAAAAACTTGGCCCTCTAGTGGGTGCATGGTAGGCTGGCTCATAACATATTTCGAGGCTGGCCCTTGTAAGAGGCTTTTAATTTGTTGCACCGGTTGGCGAGAGTGCTGTAGGCCTACCAATTTAAATGCTATGTGGGTATTTAGTGCCCATCATTTAAAATGTATAGGGGACAGATTGGAGTGGCAGCAAGCCTTAAACTTTTATGATTGAGCATTTTGCCATGTTCTTTTGGTCTGTTTTAACCTGTAGTCGCTGCCAGTTTGGAGCCTTTGTTAAAGCCTCAGAGTGAAACACCAAATATTCATTGATATGCTGTAATGTGTAAACGCATTCCCTGGCTGCCGACCTGCATGCAACCAATCCCATGTAATTACATTTAAAAAAGTGTGACTTACAAACCCCAAATTCCTCCATGAATTTCATTCATCCATCCAGCCAGCCATCCATTCATTCATAAGATTGCGGGTAGGATGCACTTTTTTCTATTCTACGGTATTTACTGTGTGTCATTACACAGTACTTGCTTTTATACTGTATTTGGATTCAGTAGGTGTACTGGAATATGAAATACAGTAACTTAGGCTATTGCCACTTTGCTGCATGTAGTTACTGCCCAAATTCACGGCAACCTCTTTACAGTGTTGCTGTCTGTAGTTCTTCAACTTTTAAGATGGCAGGGGTATTGGGGATCTTGTTTTCCCAACATGATCCTGTCACATTTTATTTACCCAATGTGCAACGATGGGGGGACTACACTTGTTTTTCCATAGGCCCAACAAGAAATATGATGAAATGTCCAAGTGAAAAAAAACGTTGTGTGGGCAGTATCACATTTGCACTGAAACCTTGCAAGTTTGATCAATTGAATTAGCCTAATGTTGCAATATTCCCAGCAAAATCCCAAGATTTGGTTTCAGTCGGTGTATAGGCCTAAACCTGCTTCAGTAGCCTAAATTATCTGCTGAAACTTTAGACTATTTTGCAAAATATGGTTTTTACAGACAGCCCTTGTTTAAATCGGAATAATAATGGGCTAAACCAGTTTATAATTTAGTCTAATAATTGGTCTTAATTGATAGGCTAGCCTAACCTTGGCATATTTGCCTGAATTTGTAACAAATGTATGATAGATACTTTACAGACATTTTTCTTGTTGGTCCCATATGTTTTAAGGGACTAGGTATTTTCAATCGGTGCTTGAAATCGCGGACCCCTTGGCGCGCAGCCCAAGGCACGACCTGACTGCATTACCGTCCCAGTTATTCATTGTGCTGTTTTCTGCATTGAACCCCCAAATATATTTATTTCCCGTACCTATTGTATGTGGTATCTTTTTTATTGATTCCATAAATACACATTGCAATTGTAAATAGAATACAAATTAATTTCTGTTGTAATGTATAGGCCAGTCTAGAACAGCCCTGACCCAGTAAAACTTGAACTAATTGGTCCATTAGCCTATCAGAGTCAGCTGTCCATTATTTAGAAAATGCACATTGAAATGTGATACATTGTTGCATGTTGCTACAATGTTTTCACTCTGTGTAGAGGGGTCTATATTGGTCAAAACTCAACCATGTGATGACACTGCACCTGTGCATAATAAATACATTATTTAAGAGCGTCATAATAACAAGTAGAACATTACAAGAGTTCCAGAACACTACATTCTAGGTTACTTTCTTGATTTGTGATTGCAGGAGAGAGGGTACATTTTAAAGCAAGGCATGTGAATGTATTATTTGTTGCCAAATTTGAGTTTAATAGCTCACAATATTTAAGTAGGTTGTTTATTTTTTTCATGACCAAATGTCTTCTGTCTGTTGTGAATGTAATTTTGGGCCTAATGAAATTGAATAGGCCTTCTTCTTCCCTCCAGTGATGCCGACAGACGCTAGTGAGGAAGGGCACCACCGTAAGCCAGTGCGCAGGCCCCGTCTTTCCTATATGGTAATTAAGAGCAATATATCGTCCCATATAGGCCTAAAAACTACAGGTTTAACTACAGGATCGACTTCAAAATCCTCATGCTTGCATTTAAAAAACATGAATGGATTAAGCCGCACATACATCAGTGACCTCATCTCAATCAGCGAGCCACCATGCACTCTCCGCTCTAGGCACTCCCTACTGCTTCAAGTCCGTAAGACACGTCTCCGAACTAAGCGGGACCGAGCCTTCTGCTTGCTCCCTTGCCCCTCGCCTATGGAATGCTCTCCCTGACCATCTGAGAGCCGCTACATCACTCGAAACTTTTAAAACTGGCTGCAAAACCCACTTCTACAGACTGTATTTTTCATAGTCCTGGTCCCATTCTAAAATGTATTTAGCACCTAGCCCACTATTGGTATTTTACCTGCCTTGATTCGAAATGTACTGTATGTTTTTTTTTATTGTATATATATATATATATATATATATTAAATGTTTTCCTCAGTAGAGCTTTGAGATAACTCTGTAATGAAAAGCGCTATAGAAATTAAATGTAGCCTATTATTATTATAATTGATCTACACATGGATTCCCTTATTGCTCTATCAGGTAAGTGGACCTATGCTATGGCTTAAAAACAAAAAAATAGCATACAACTGCTAGATAAATGGATTTGAGTGTAATGTGCTCCTGTCATTGTGCTCCCAGTTAGGTCGTGTGGTCAGGAACCCAGACTTTGAACCCAGACAGAGTGTGTCCAGAAACAGGAACAGGAATAGGAGACCTCAGGTGAGTATGACATCAACAGGTGTTCTGCAGCCCATCCCTGAGAACCGAGACCCAGTGGAACAGAGCCCGAGACCACCATCACCTGAGAGGGCCTTCATCAACCTGCAGCCACACACACAGGTAGGACTCTAGTCCTGCAGCATTACATACTAGTTTATGTGTGTGTGTGTGTGTTTCACTGTGTTCGTCAACTATAATGTGGCTATAACTAGTCTCCTGAGTGGCGCAGTGGTCTAAGGCACTGCATCGCAGTGCTAGCTGTGCCACTAGAGATCCTGGTTCGAATCCAGGCTCTGTCGTAGCTGACCGGGAGACCCATGGGGTGTGGCACAATTGGCACAGCGTTGTGTAGGGGAGGGAATGGCTGGCAGGGGATGTAGAGCATGGCGTTTGCAATGCCAGGGTTGTGGGTTCGATTCCCACAGTGGGTATGAAAAAGACAAATAAATAAAATAATGTATTCACTAACTGTGAGTCGCTCTGGATAAGAGCGTCTACTAAAATGTAAAATAACTATTTGCATAATACCATAGGAATGTGTATGATTGAGTCTTTCTTTATTCTTATGTTATATCTGAAAAATCTCAAATGCTCTCTCTCGATTAGCTTGACCAACAAGGAGCGTTATCCCACTCTGAAGAGATGAGAGAGAAAACCAACCCACTCTCTGGGATCCATGACCTGGTAAGTGACCTGTGTTTTCACTGTAACTTTTTGTCTTAGAAGTGACGTAGAACAGGGGTAGACAACCAAATTAAGCCGCAGGCTGATTTTGGTCGGAGAAGATGGTCGGGGGTCCTCAACATAATTATAATATAATTTGTACACTGCAAACTGACCACAACTAAACCCAACAAGCGATTGTATTTGAAAATAACAGTAATTTCATACTTTGATTACATTGAGACACGATCAAGTCTCTTATTTTATTCGTGGGAATACTTGGGAACAAATTCCCTGAATTAAACTCATTTTTAGCTGAATTCCTGATGATTTTACACCATTTTTTAGCAAAAACTAAACTACCTGTTGCCGACCCCTGTCGTAGAAGGAGTCAAAGATGAACACAGGTTGTGTGTGTGAATGTGTGTGTGTGTGTGTTGAATGATGCAGACAGTCCTCCTGTGTGAGGAGAAGGAGAAAGAGAAGGCCCTGTTTGTTAAAGCCAGAGAGAGGACCATGAGATACTTGAAAGAGGATCTGGCTTACTACCATGAGAAGGTCACCAAAGACCTGGCATCCCTAGGCCAGACCCTGGACAGAGCTCTGGTGCTGAATCAGAGCGAAGAGGAAGCTAAGCTGGAGGAGAGGATTGATTTTGAAAGGATGGTTAGGAGGTTTGGGAAGGGTGGAGAGATTGATGAGGCCAGTGCTAGAGGTTGCAGGAAGAATAGACAGACAAATATCAAGACACCCGAATGTAAAGATGGTAATGAATGGGAGAAGAGCCGGCCAAACTAGTGAAGGTGGCAGAAGAGGAAGAGAGTAAAAGAGGTCAAAGAGCGAAGCCAGTGAAAATTGACAAGGAGTTAGGTCCTGTGGTCAGGAACCCAGACTCTGAACCCAGACAGAGTGTGTCCAGAAACAGGAACAGGAATAGGAGACCTCAGGTGAGTATGACATCAACAGGTGTTCTGCAGCCCATCCCTGAGAACCGAGACCCAGTGGAACAGAGCCCGAGACCACCATCACCTGAGAGGGCCTTCATCAACCTGCAGCCACACACACAGGTAGGACTCTAGTCCTGCAGCATTACATACTAGTTTATGTGTGTGTGTGTGTGTGTGTTTCACTGTGTTCGTCAACTATAATGTGGCTATAACTAGTCTCCTGAGTGGCGCAGTGGTCTAAGGCACTGCATCGCAGTGCTAGCTGTGCCACTAGAGATCCTGGTTCGAATCCAGGCTCTGTCGTAGCTGACCGGGAGACCCATGGGGCGGCGCACAATTGGCACAGCGTCGTGTAGGGGAGGGAATGCTTGCAGGGGATGTAGCTCAGTTTGTAGAGCATGGCGTTTGCAATGCCAGGGTTGTGGGTTTAATTCCCACGGGGGGTATGAAAAAGACAAATAAATAAATAAAAAATAATGAATGCACTAACTGTAAGTCGCTCTGGATAAGAGCGTCTACTAAAATGTAAAATAACTATTTGTATAATACCATAGGAATGTGTATGATTGAGTCTTATGTTATATCTGAAAAATCTCAAATGCTCTCTCTCGATTAGCTTGACCAACAAGGAGCGTTATCCCACTCTGAAGAGATGAGAGAGAAAACCAACCCACTCTCTGGGATCCGTGACCTGTGTTTTCACTGTAACTTTTTGTCTTAGAAGTGACGTAGAACAGGGGTAGACAACCAAATTAAGCCGCAGGCTGATTTTGGTCGGAGAAGATGGTCGGGGGTCCTCAACATAATTATAATAATTTGTACACTGCAAACTGACCACAACTAAACCCAACAAGCGATTGTATTTGAAAATAACAGTAATTTCATACTTTGATTACATTGAGACACGATCAAGTCTCTTATTTTATTCGTGGGAATACTTGGGAACAAATTCCCTGAATTAAACTCATTTTTAGCTGAATTCCTGATGATGGTCCTCTGTAGCTCAGCTGGTAGAGCACGGCGCTTGTAACGCCAAGGTAGTGGGTTCGATCCCCGGGACCACCCATACACAAAAAAAAATTATGCACGCATGACTGTAAGTCGCTTTGGATAAAAGCGTCTGCTAAATGGCATATTATTATTATTATTTTACGTTTGAGAAACATGGATGAACGTCTAATTCTGACATGAGTGTGAGAGCTCGTAGGTTTAGCCACACGATCTAACCCTGCACCTCTGTCTCTCATGCAGAATGACTTCGCTACTCTTGAGTCAGTGGTAGGTTGTTTACTGGATTCATTCAGTATTTCTACAGACATATATTCATTACTGATTAATTACTGCAGCTACAATATTCTCCCAGTATATAAGACTTGTTCGGTTTCGATACACGTATTCCCACTGGGCACACACTGGTTGAATCAACGTTGTTTCCATGTCATTTCAATGAAATCACGTTGAACCAACGTGGAATAGTTGTTGAATTGACGTCTGTGCCCAGTGGGCTGTATCTTTTCACTGTGATCTTGTGATTAATCATGTTAACTAATCTTGTACCGCTAATCTTCCCATCAAGAGTCAGAACTACAGGTCATCTACTCCAGTGACTATGACCTCCTTGACCTCTGTCTCTTTGACCACTGCTCCACTGACCGCTTCTCCACTGACCGCTACCCTCCAGACCACTGCCACTCCCCCCCTCTTCCTCCCTGTTCGCATCCCTCCCTCTAACCTCCAGACCACCGCCGCTCCACCCCTCCCTCGCCCCCACCGCCTGCCCCCACTGAAGGTTCCACCGCCGACCCTGGCATGGCCACAGACCACCCATCTACCACCCATCTCCACCCAGACTGAGGGAGGACAGACAGGCAACACTGACAGGACTGGAACACCTGTACTGGTAAGAAGACTGATAAGAACCAGGCTCCCTCTCTCTCTTTCAGTCAGATCCACACACATGGTGTCACATAGAGGAAAGCTAGTGTAGATCTGTAAGATTATAGCTGTGCTGGAAAGATGTTTAAATGTTGTATTATGTTTCTCAGACTCTGGACACTAATGGAGATCAGACAGGAGAAACCAATGAGATTGATTATGATGAGGTAGAGGAGATTAGCATCCTGCCTGATGAGGAAAGGTTCCAAGTAAAGCAAGTGGAGAAGGAAGAAGTGAAGGAGAAGAAGGAACAGGAGAATGAGACAGGGGGGGCGAAGAAATGTCGCAAGACCATCAAGAAGAGGTGAGTTTTAAGTAGACAGAAGATAATTAAATAGTGGAGGGAGGGAAAAGCTAGCAGACAGATGGACACATAAAAGGAGATAGTAAAGGACCATGAGTCACAATTTTGAAGTGTTGCAGTAGTGTCCATATTGTTCCATTCTTGTCAGTGGTTACTACCTCCCTCGCAGGTTTATCAGATGGCTGAGGATGATGTGCTGCTGTGGAGGCTGCTTTCAGAAATGCTGAACTGAAATCTTCATCACACCACAGCCAGAGATCCCTTAAACACACACACACACACACACACACACACACAGATGTGCGCCCACAAACATACACACACACCAGGGATTTACATTTTCTTTCATCCTATTTTTCAATAAACATAAAATCCCATCCTGATGTTTGTTTTGTTTAGATTGGCAGGTCTTGACAAAAAATGAATATTTTGTCCAGGGTTGGTTTTGGGAAGGCTCCAAAGCTAATAGAATACAGTAGTCCTATTCATTCATTACAACTTTTTAAGGTTTAGCCTCTTTACTCTGGGAAACCTGTACACATTAGTCTCCCGGAACCAAGAGGCTTTATAAGGTTGTGCCTCACGGGGGAAGGCAATAACTTTTTGTTTAGGGTGTGTGGATTCACCTTAGCCCTCTTTAGGTGTGTGTGGATTCCAATGATTTATATATACACCACAGGAGGTTGGTGGCACCTTAATTGTAAAGGACGGGCTTGTGGTAATGGCTGGAGCGGTATGGTATCAAACGCATCAAACACATGGTTTCCATGTACTTGATGCCATTCCATTTGCTCTGTTCTGGCCATTATTATGAGCCGTCCTCCCCTCAGCAGCCTCCTGTGATATACACATATATTTATATACATCATTGATGAATTCATTCATGCACTCTTTTCCTGGTGCACGAGCGCCTCCCTGTGGACACTCGCGAGCCCCATGTGCAGATGCTATAGCGTTATACAACCAGCGGGGGGCGGTAGACCTCGATGCCCAACCACATTGCTAACCAGTCGCACTCGTACACATTAAAGGACTAGGAAACTTAGCTAGCCATACAACATTTCAAACAAGGGGAGGCGACAAATAAGGAAAACAAAGGAGTTTCTAATCCAACCGGACATAGCTACAATGCCGTTAGCTGTTCAAACACATCGGTGGAGAGTGAAAAGTTCGAGTTTGTAAGGTTTGATATTGTATTTGTGATTTTGATTTGTGACATTTTTCTGGAGGCTCTATAATGGGGACTTATAGAAAGTTCCATCTTGTTATGGGTGGTGGCACAGAACGGCCCAAAAATCAACTAATCCGGCAAAATCGTTAAGGCAGCAAGGGGGAGAAACCACCAGAGAGCCCGAATTAAAAGGCCAACTTGTGAAGAGGCGCTCGCGCCCTTTCACGCCCTTTCGCCCTTACCATCTGGTCACGCGTCCCAGTGATCAGAATTAGCGTGGGAATGACAATGCCACAATAGTTCCCATTCTCAGACGCCCTAAGCGGCGCAGTGGCCCACTCATCTTGGCTGCTTAATTATGAGGAACACAATCATTCCTGTTGGGCCAGTGTGCCTGAGGTCTACATCCGCTTTTTTAGGTGACTTATTCCGGATCTAGAGGCATATACTGTATATGAGGCACTTCACACTTGCAACATCACATTTTGTGAAATGCGCATTGGAAATGCATAGAGAGGGACACTGACTGCCACACCAGCGACATTTTGCTTATTTTTTTAAGTATAGTATTAGACTTTAATACTGGCCAAATTGGTCTCCATCCCTCCATCCATCCTTCCAATGAAATTATCTATTTTCCCTATTTATTTATATCGCTCTATTTTCTCCAACACCTGCATATCTATTAATTGAACAAAAACAATATATCCTTCTAAAAGCGGGCGCACATCTGTGTGTGTGTTTAAGGGATCTCTGGCTGTGGTGTGATGAAGATTTCAGTTCAGCATTTCTGAAAGCAGCCTCCACAGCAGCACATCTTCCTCAGCCATCTGATAAACCTGCGAGGGAGGTAGTAACCAATGACAAGAATGGAACAATATGGACACTACTGCAACACTTCAAAATTGTGACTCATGGTCCTTTACTATCTCCTTTTATGTGTCCATCTGTCTGCTAGCTTTTCCCTCTCTCCACTATTTAATTATCTTCTGTCTACTTAAAACTCACCTCTTCTTGATGGTCTTGCGACATTTCTTGGCCCCCCCTGTCTCATTCTCCTGTTCCTTCTTCTCCTTCACTTCTTCCTTCTCCACTTGCTTTACTTGGAACCTTTCCTCATCAGGCAGGATGCTAATCTCCTCTACCTCATCATAATCAATCTCATTGGTTTCTCTTGTCTGATCTCCATTAGTGTCCAGAGTCTGAGAAACATAATACAACATTTAAACATCTTTCCAGCACAGCTATAATCTTACAGATCTACACTAGCTTTCCTCTATGTGGCACCATGTGTGTGGATCTGACTGAAAGAGAGAGAGGGAGCCTGGTTCTTATCAGTCTTCTTACCAGTACAGGTGTTCCAGTCCTGTCAGTGTTGCCTGTCTGTCCTCCCTCAGTCTGGGTGGAGATGGGTGGTAGATGGGTGGTCTGTGGCCATGCCAGGGTCGGCGGTGGAACCTTCAGTGGGGGCAGGCGGTGGGGGCGAGGGAGGGGTGGAGCGGCGGTGGTCTGGAGGTTAGAGGGAGGGATGCGAACAGGGAGGAAGAGGGGGGGAGTGGCAGTGGTCTGGAGGGTAGCGGTCAGTGGAGAAGCGGTCAGTGGAGCAGTGGTCAAAGAGACAGAGGTCAAGGAGGTCATAGTCACTGGAGTAGATGACCTGTAGTTCTGACTCTTGATGGGAAGATTAGCGGTACAAGATTAGTTAACATGATTAATCACAAGATCACAGTGAAAAGATACAGCCCACTGGGCACAGACGTCAATTCAACAACTATTCAACGTTGGTTCAACGTCATTTCATTGAAATGACATGGAAACAACGTTGATTCAACCAGTGTGTGCCCAGTGGGAATACGTGTATCAAAAAGTCTTACATACTGGGAGAATATTGTAGCTGCAGTAATTAATCAGTAATGAATATATGTCTGTAGAAATACTGAATTAATCCAGTAAACAACCTACCACTGACTCAAGAGTAGCGAAGTCATTCTGCATGAGAGACAGAGGTGCAGGGTTAGATCGTGTGGCTAAACCTACGAGCTCTCACACTCATGTCAGAATTAGACGTTCATCCATGTTTCTCAAACGTCAAATTTCAAAGTTGTTCCAAATGTCACATTTCTAAGTGTTTTGGTTAAGTTTAGGCATTAACTCAGAATTTTTAAGTTAGGGTTAAGTTCAGGCATTAACTCCAAATTCTTAAAGTTAGATATTAACTCCGAATGGTTAAGGTAAGGGTATGGTTTGGGATAGGCTTAAAACAAAAATATCAAAAACAACTTTCTACCACTGTATTTGAACCTGCAACCTTTGGAATCAGATGCTTACGCCTATCCACCATCCCTGTCCACAATGCTGTAGCAAAATCGAAACCTACTTGAAGGGAACAGTGCTCACTGTTGCCACTAGTGGCCGGTTTCAACGTTATCTCCTGATGTCCTCAGACATGGATGGACGTTGAATACTGACTTGTATAATGGGTGACCTGGCTGGGCTAAACATAACCTGCACAATGCATTTATATAAAAAACTAACAGGCCTCAAACGTGAGTTAACCCAATCCAAAATAATGACGCAATAATGAAGGCTATTATAGTGCACAATGTGAGTTGTAAAGAAACCTGAATGCTATTCTTCCCTCCCTGTTTCCACCATTATACCAGCTGACTTACAGCATGCTGTGGTGTGTGGTGTTCTTACCTCAACTTCCACAGCGGCTATTTTCTGCACTCTGTCTAGCATGGGTCCAATGCCCTCCTCCAGTTCTCTCCAGTAGTTTCTGAAAGAGCCCACGACTAACTCCTGCTGGAGCTTCCAAGCATCCAACATCATCTGGTCTTGCTTGATCTGCTTTCTGACCATGTGACACATGTCGATGTCTTGGAGTTTATTAAAATCCTCAAACTCATTTTGGACCTTGTCCATGAACTCTGCAACGATTTCCTTGAAAATGTTCACTGGCTTCGCTCTTTGACCTCTTATACTCTCTTCCTCTTTTGCCACCTTCACTAGTTGGCCGGCTCTTCTCCCATTCATTACCATCTTTACATTCGGGTGTCTTGATATTTGTCTGTCTCTTCTTCCTGCAACCTCTAGCACTGGCCTCATCAATCTCTCACCCTTCCCAAACCTCCTAACCATCCTTTCCTCCAGCTTAGCTTCCTCTTCGCTCTGATTCAGCCCCAGAGCTCTGTCCAGGGTCTGGCCTAGGGATCCCAGGTCTTTGGTGACCTTCTCATGGTAGTAAGCCAGATCCTCTTTCAAGTATCTCATGGTCCTCTCTCTGGCTTTAACAAACAGGGCCTTCTCTTTCTCCTTCTCCTCACACAGGAGGACTGTCTGCATCATTCACACACACACACACAACCTGTGTTCATCTTTGACTCCTTCTACGACAGGGGTCGGCAACAGGTAGTTTAGTTTTTGCTCAAAAAATACTGTAAAATCATCAGGAATTCAGCTAAAAATGAGTTTAATTCAGGGAATTTGTTCCCAAGTATTCCCACGAATAAAATAAGAGACTTGATCGTGTCTCAATGTAATCAAAGTATGAAATTACTGTTATTTTCAAATACAATCGCTTGTTGGGTTTAGTTGTGGTCAGTTTGCAGTGTACAAATTATATTATAATTATGTTGAGGACCCCCGGCCATCTTCTCCGACCAAAATCAGCCTGCGGCTTAATTTGGTTGTCTACCCCTGTTCTACGTCACTTCTAAGACAAAAAGTTACAGTGAAAACACAGGTCACTTACCAGGTCATGGATCCCAGAGAGTGGGTTGGTTTTCTCTCTCATCTCTTCAGAGTGGGATAACGCTCCTTGTTGGTCAAGCTAATCGAGAGAGAGCATTTGAGATTTTTCAGATATAACATAAGAATAAAAAAAGACTCAATCATACACATTCCTATGGTATTATGCAAATAGTTATAGCCACATTATAGTTGACGAACACAGTGAAACACACACACACACAAACTAGTATGTCATGCTGCAGGACTAGAGTCCTACCTGTGTGTGTGGCTGCAGGTTGATGAAGGCCCTCTCAGGTGATGGTGGTCTCGGGCTCTGTTCCACTGGGTCTCGGTTCTCAGGGATGGGCTGCAGAACACCTGTTGATGTCATACTCACCTGAGGTCTCCTATTCATGTTCCTGTTTCTGGACACACTCTGTCTGGGTTCAAAAGTTTGGGTTCCTGACCACACGACCTAACTGGGAGCACAATGACAGGAGCACATTACACTCAAATCCATTTATCTAGCAGTTGTATGCTATTTTTTTTTGTTTTTAAGCCATAGCATAGGTCCACTTACCTGATAGAGCAATAAGGGAATCCATGTGTAGATCAATAATAATAATAATAGGCTACATTTAATTTCTATAGGGCTTTTCATTACAGAGTTATCTCAAAGCTCTACTGAGGAAAACATTTAATATATATATATATATATATATATTGTAATATTCATGTGTCAGCATACTGAATTGTAATTGGATGCATTATACTGTCATATCATACTGTGCTATGATTGGTTAAGACCACCCAGGTGGTGAGGTCATTCTAAAGATGATCATGGCCAGAGACACATGGACATGCCAGTTATAGCTAGTTAATAAAGAGCTACGTTTATAAATATCCTGTCGTCCTGCATTTTATAATTTTGTACAAAGCGTACAAAACAAGACATGGTGTCAGAGTAAAAGGACTAAAAGATGGATTTTGCTGGAGTTCCTTCACCTCGAATGGATTGGGGGTCTACAAATCTACCCGATGCATGGCGTAAGTTCAAACAGCATGTGGAGCTGATGTTCACGGGTCCTCTGAAGGAAAGAGGAGAAGAGGAAAAGTGCAGCTACCTGCTCCTCTGGATCGGTGAAAAAGGGAGAGACATTTACAATACATGGACACTTACCGAGGCTGAATCAAAGGTACTGAAAACATACTACGATCGTTTTGAAGCATATGTTGTGCCAAAGACCAATACAATTTTCGCTAGGTACAAATTCCATGAGAAAGTACAAGGCGCTAGCGAATCGTTTGAACAATTTGTCACTGAGCTGCGTCTGCTTGTGAAAGACTGTGATTATGCAAACAAGGATGAGATGGTCAGGGACCGTATTGTATTGGAATACACTCACCGCGAGTGAGAGAGAAACTTTTGAATGTTGGATCAGAGTTAACGCTGGACAAAGCTATCGACATAGCCAGATCTCACGAGCTAGCACAGGTTCAGATGAAAACCATTTCAGGCGGCAGCACGAGCGCATCACGTGAACAAGCAGTGCACGCAGTCAGGCAGACATCAAAGCACACCTCCAGTGCCCAGAGAGCATGTTTCAGAACGGAGACAGACAGAACTCCAAAACAGAGCGACACAGACTCCAAACGCCCCAAAACATGTGGATATTGTGGATACAAAGTGCATGGCGAACAGGGGAATTGCCCAGCTAAAGGCAAACAGTGTACTAAATGTGGAAAATGGAATCACTTTGCAAAAGTGTGCAGAGCTTACCGTAGAAAAACAGTACATACAGTAAGTGAAGATGAAATGTCAATCAAAGAGTCAAATGCTGATGAACTGTTTATTGATTCAGTGACACAGAAAAGTCAGATATCAGATACAGAGCAAGCCTTTGCTGACATTGAGATAGGAAGACAAGGCACAGAGCTAAAATTCAAACTAGACACTGGTGCACAAGTAAACATTATTCCTCTGAGTAAGTACAGAAGCTTGACATCTGAGTGTGAGCTACAGCCCACCACGCGCAGACTGACTGGTTATGGTGGTGAACAGCTCCCAGTAAAAGGCACATGCACTCTCAAATGCAAATACAAGGAAAGGGACATGATGTTGGACTTTTACGTTGTTGACACTCGAGCACCTGCAGTGCTAGGTCTTAAAGCATGTTTAGACATGGACCTTATCAAGCTAGTTTTATCAGTGACAGCACCAGTAGAGATAGAGAATGTCATGGATGAGTTTGCTGATGTTTTTACAGGAATAGGACTATTCCCAGGAGAATGTACCATTCACCTTGACCCAGACGCAACCCCTGTGGTCTACCCACCGAGAAAGATTCCACTTGCTCTCCGCGCCCGTCTGAAGAAAGAGTTGGAGAGCATGGAGCAATCTGACATCGTCACCAAGGTTACAGAACCGACGGATTGGGTCAACACGTTAGTGGTGGTGGAGAAACCACGCACAGGCAAGCTCAGAGTATGTCTCGACCCAAGAGATTTGAACAAGGCTATCAAACGCCCCCACTACCCCTTACCGACGCTAGATGGCATCACACACAAGCTGTCATGGACGCCAGATCAGGCTACTGGGCTATCAAGCTCACAGAAGAGTCATCTAAGCTCACAACGTTCAACACACCGTTTGGACGCTACAGGTTCCGTCGCCTGCCTTTTGGGATTATCTCAGCCCAAGATGAGTTTCAGCGAAAGATCGACGAGGTGTACGAAGGCCTCGACGGAGTCGTGGCAATTGAAGACGACATCCTTGTCTATGGTCGAACCAAAGAGGAACACGACAGAAACCTCAACGCGATGCTGCAAAGGTCCCGCGAGAGAGGAGTCCGGCTCAACCCCGAGAAGAGCACAGTCGGCGCTACAGAGGTCAGCTACTTCGGGCATCTTCTCACAGCGAATGGAATCAAGCCAGATCCGCAGAAGATCTCAGCCATAAAGGAAATGGAGCCACCAAAGAACCGCGCAGAGCTGGAAACAGTGCTTGGCATGGTCAACTACTTAGCCAAGTTCGCACCCAGCCTCTCCAATGAAAATGCACCCCTGCGTCAGCTGCTAAAGCAGTCCAGTGAGTTCCTCTGGGACAACCAACACGACATCGCTTTCCAGAAAGTGAAAGACTTGATCACGAGAGAACCAGGACCAATCCTTGCCTACTACGACCCCAACAAAGAGCTCAGACTCCAGGTGGACGTGTCAAAGTATGGACTAGGGGCAGTGCTACTGCAAGAAGGAAAACCCATCGGCTACGCTTCCAAATCTCTCACAGACTGTGAAATCAACTACGCTCAAATCGAAAAGGAGCTGTACGCCATTCTGTTCGGATGTAAGCGTTTCCATCAGTATGTCTATGGACGACAAGTCATTGTGGAATCAGACCACAAGCCCCTCGAGTCAATCATGAGGAAACCGTTAGCCGCAGCCCCGCCAAGGCTACAGAGAATGATCCTTCAACTACAAAAATACGACTTCACAATCACTCACCGTCCAGGCAAAGACATCCCTGTCGCAGACACACTCTCCAGGAAGTTTCTTACCTACAAGGACAGCAGCCTCAGTGAAGGCATGGACATGCAGGTGCACACTGTGTACAGCAACTTACCAGTTAGTGACACAAAACTGAAGGAGATCTGAGCAGAAACAGAAAAAGACACACAACTCACACAGCTGAGGAAAGTCATACAGTCAGGATGGCCTGAGGAGAGGAGAAAAATGCCCTCAGAGCGTCTCAGAGTTCTGGAACCATCGTGACAAACTATCACAGATCAACAGAATAATTTTCAAAGGAGAGAAAATCATCATTCCTACCAGTCTCAGAGAAGAGATTTTGACAAAGATCCATGCTGGACACATGGGCATGGAAAAGTGCAAACAGAGAGCACGGGACATTTTGTTTTGGCCCGGAATGTGCAAACAAATAGAGGACATGGTTGGTAAATGCCCCACCTGTCTTGAACGACGCCCCTCAAACACCAAAGAGCCAATGTTACCTCACCGTATCCCAGACCGACCCTGGCAGGTCGTGGCAAACCGATCTGTTCACGTGGAACAACGAGGACTACATTATAACAGTGGACTACTACAGCAGATACTTCGAACTTGACAAGCTTCACAGCACCACATCTGCAGCTGTGATACACAAGCTGAAAGCAGCCTTTGCCAGGCATGGCATTGTAGAGACTTTAATATCTGACAATGGGCCCTGTTACAAATCAAATGAGTTTGAATCCTTCACAAAAGCATGGGAGTTCACACACGTCACCACAAGCCCACATTACCCTCAAAGTAATGGCCTTGCCGAAAAATCTGTGCAGATCGCTAAATCACTCATGGACAAAGCAAAAGCAGACAAGAGAGACCCCTACCTCAGTCTCCTTGAATACCTCAACACTCCAGTTGACAACTTCAAATCACCAGCCCAGCTGTTGATGAGCCGCAGACTTCGCTCAATCCTTCCCGGCACCAACCAGCAGCTGCAACCTGAGGTCGTCAGCTACAAGGAAGTGCATGCAAAACGTGCACAGAGACAACAACAGCAAAAGTGATACTACGACAGGTCAGCCAGACCACTGCCACCACTGAACGACGGAGAGTCAGTTAGAATCCAGGAGCATGGCTACTGGAAGCCAGCAGTCGTCATCCAACCAGCTGACACTGAACGTTCATATCTCGTTCGCACCGCAGAAGGAGCGGTGTACCGCCGCAATCGTCGTCACCTACTGAACACAAAAGAACAACACACTGACGAGATGAACTGTTCCCCTGAAAGAGAACGGGGTGGACTACACACAGACACAACACAACATACACCATACTTACCTGCAACACCACAAGAACTGTTGACTGACACAGAAGCATGCTCAGCTTCATATCACACAAGGTCAGGAAGAGAGGTCAAGCCTAGAGCTGTCCTAGACCTGTGAAATGTCAAAGGGTGTAGGCGGATCGCTGCCCTAAAAGAGTTCCAAACTGTAAACTTGTTATTGAAAGTTAACTTGAAATGCTTTGGTATGGTATTTGTTTGATATGTTGAGATGTCATTGCTACAGTTAAAAGCTGAGTTGCTGAGACATATTCGTTCTAAAAGTAACAGTATGCTGAATCATTGTTTGTCTGTTATGTTGATGCAGTTGGTGCAGTTTAAATGGTTACTTACCTCGAGTTCAAACTACAGAGCATATATTCAAAAGAAACGCTTTATTGTTCTACATATTTTTTCTTCTTTTAAAAGAAGGGGGATGTAATATTCATATGTGTCAGCATACTGAATTGTAATTGGATGCATTATACTGTCATATCATACTGTGCTATGATTGGTTCCCCTGTTCAATTCCCCTGTTCGCCATGCACTTTGTATGCACACCAGGCCATGCCATGCACTCCAGGCCATGCACTTTGTATCCACAATATCCACATGTTTTGGGGCGTTTGGAGTCTGTGTCGCTCTGTTTTGGAGTTCTGTCTGTCTCCGTTCTGAAACATGCTCTCTGGGCACTGGAGGTGTGCTTTGATGTCTGCCTGACTGCGTGCACTGCTTGTTCACGTGATGCGCTCGTGCTGCCGCCTGAAATGGTTTTCATCTGAACCTGTGCTAGCTCGTGAGATCTGGCTATGTCGATAGCTTTGTCCAGCGTTAACTCTGATCCAACATTCAAAAGTTTCTCTCTCACTCGCGGTGAGTGTATTCCAATACAATACGGTCCCTGACCATCTCATCCTTGTTTGCATAATCACAGTCTTTCACAAGCAGACGCAGCTCAGTGACAAATTGTTCAAACGATTCGCTAGCGCCTTGTACTTTCTCATGGAATTTGTACCTAGCGAAAATTGTATTGGTCTTTGGCACAACATATGCTTCAAAACGATCGTAGTATGTTTTCAGTACCTTTGATTCAGCCTCGGTAAGTGTCCATGTATTGTAAATGTCTCTCCCTTTTTCACCGATCCAGAGGAGCAGGTAGCTGCACTTTTCCTCTTCTCCTCTTACCTTCAGAGGACCCGTGAACATCAGCTCCACATGCTGTTTGAACTTACGCCATGCATCGGGTAGATTTGTAGACCCCCAATCCATTCGAGGTGAAGGAACTCCAGCAAAATCCATCTTTTAGTCCTTTTACTCTGACACCATGTCTTGTTTTGTACGCTTTGTACAAAATTATAAAATGCAGGACGACAGGATATTTATAAACGTAGCTCTTATTAACTAGCTATAACTGGCATGTCCATGTGTCTCTGGCCATGATCATCTTTAGAATGACCTCACATTTTACATTTACATTTAAGTCATTTAGCAGACGCTCTTATCCAGAGCGACTTACAAATTGGTGCAGTCACCCTATATATCCAATGGGTTAACCACTTGACAACATTTTTTTTTTGGGGGGGGGGGGGGGGGCTAGACGGATTACTTCATCCTATCCCAGGTATTCCTTAAGAGATCCACCTGGGTGGTCTTAACCAATCATAGCACAGTATGATATGACAGTATAATGCATCCAATTACAATTCAGTATGCTGACACATATGAATATTACAATATATATATATATATATATATATATATATATATATATATATTTATATATATATATATATATATTAAATGTTTTCCTCAGTAGAGCTTTGAGATAACTCTGTAATGAAAAGCGCTATAGAAATTAAATGTAGCCTATTATTATTATTATTGATCTACACATGGATTCCCTTATTGCTCTATCAGGTAAGTGGACCTATGCTATGGCTTAAAAACAAAAAAAATAGCATACAACTGCTAGATAAATGGATTTGAGTGTAATGTGCTCCTGTCATTGTGCTCCCAGTTAGGTCGTGTGGTCAGGAACCCAAACTTTGAACCCAGACAGAGTGTGTCCAGAAACAGGAACAGGAATAGGAGACCTCAGGTGAGTATGACATCAACAGGTGTTCTGCAGCCCATCCCTGAGAACCGAGACCCAGTGGAACAGAGCCCGAGAACACCATCACCTGAGAGGGCCTTCATCAACCTGCAGGCCATATAATGTGGCTATAACTATTTGCATAATACCATAGGAATGTGTATGATTGAGTCTTTTTTTATTCTTATGTTATATCTGAAAAATCTCAAATGCTCTCTCTCGATTAGCTTGACCAACAAGGAGCGTTATCCCACTCTGAAGAGATGAGAGAGAAAACCAACCCACTCTCTGGGATCCATGACCTGGTAAGTGACCTGTGTTTTCACTGTAACTTTTTGTCTTAGAAGTGACGTAGAACAGGGGTAGACAACCAAATTAAGCCGCAGGCTGATTTTGGTCGGAGAAGATGGTCGGGGGTCCTCAACATAATTATAATATAATTTGTACACTGCAAACTGACCACAACTAAACCCAACAAGCGATTGTATTTGAAAATAACAGTAATTTCATACTTTGATTACATTGAGACACGATCAAGTCTCTTATTTTATTCGTGGGAATACTTGGGAACAAATTCCCTGAATTAAACTCATTTTTAGCTGAATTCCTGATGATTTTACAGTATTTTTTGAGCAAAAACTAAACTACCTGTTGCCGACCCCTGTCGTAGAAGGAGTCAAAGATGAACACAGGTTGTGTGTGTGAATGTGTGTGTGTGTGTGTGTGTGTGTGTGTGAATGATGCAGACAGTCCTCCTGTGTGAGGAGAAGGAGAAAGAGAAGGCCCTGTTTGTTAAAGCCAGAGAGAGGACCATGAGATACTTGAAAGAGGATCTGGCTTACTACCATGAGAAGGTCACCAAAGACCTGGGATCCCTAGGCCAGACCCTGGACAGAGCTCTGGGGCTGAATCAGAGCGAAGAGGAAGCTAAGCTGGAGGAAAGGATGGTTAGGAGGTTTGGGAAGGGTGAGAGATTGATGAGGCCAGTGCTAGAGGTTGCAGGAAGAAGAGACAGACAAATATCAAGACACCCGAATGTAAAGATGGTAATGAATGGGAGAAGAGCCGGCCAACTAGTGAAGGTGGCAGAAGAGGAAGAGAGTATAAGAGGTCAAAGAGCGAAGCCAGTGAACATTTTCAAGGAAATCGTTGCAGAGTTCATGGACAAGGTCCAAAATGAGTTTGAGGATTTTAATAAACTCCAAGACATCGACATGTGTCACATGGTCAGAAAGCAGATCAAGCAAGACCAGATGATGTTGGATGCTTGGAAGCTCCAGCAGGAGTTAGTCGTGGGCTCTTTCAGAAACTACTGGAGAGAACTGGAGGAGGGCATTGGACCCATGCTAGACAGAGTGCAGAAAATAGCCGCTGTGGAAGTTGAGGTAAGAACACCACACACCACAGCATGCTGTAAGTCAGCTGGTATAATGGTGGAAACAGGGAGGGAAGAATAGCATTCAGGTTTCTTTACAACTCACATTGTGCACTATAATAGCCTTCATTATTGCGTCATTATTTTGGATTGGGTTAACTCACGTTTGAGGCCTGTTAGTTTTTTATATAAATGCATTGTGCAGGTTATGTTTAGCCCAGCCAGGTCACCCATTATACAAGTTCAGTATTCAACGTCCATCCATGTCTGAGGACATCAGGAGATAACGTTGAAACCGGCCACTAGTGGCAACAGTGAGCACTGTTCCCTTCAAGTAGGTTTCGATTTTGCTACAGCATTGTGGACAGGGATGGTGGATAGGCGTAAGCATCTGATTCCAAAGGTTGCAGGTTCAAATACAGTGGTAGAAAGTTGTTTTTGAATATTTTTGTTTTAAGCCTATCCCAAACCATACCCTTACCTTAACCATTCGGAGTTAATATCTAACTTTAAGAATTTGGAGTTAATGCCTGAACTTAACCAAAACACTTAGAAATGTGACATTTGGAACAACTTTGAAATTTGACGTTTGAGAAACATGGATGAACGTCTAATTCTGACATGAGTGTGAGAGCTCGTAGGTTTAGCCACACGATCTAACCCTGCACCTCTGTCTCTCATGCAGAATGACTTCGCTACTCTTGAGTCAGTGGTAGGTTGTTTACTGGATTAATTCAGTATTTCTACAGACATATATTCATTACTGATTAATTACTGCAGCTACAATATTCTCCCAGTATGTAAGACTTGTTCGGTTTTGATACACGTATTCCCACTGGGCACACACTGGTTGAATCAACGTTGTTTCCATGTCATTTCAATGAAATGACGTTGAACCAACGTTGAATAGTTGTTGAATTGACGTCTGTGCCCAGTGGGCTGTATCTTTTCACTGTGATCTTGTGATTAATCATGTTAACTAATCTTGTACCGCTAATCTTCCCATCAAGAGTCAGAACTACAGGTCATCTACTCCAGTGACTATGACCTCCTTGACCTCTGTCTCTTTGACCACTGCTCCACTGACCGCTTCTCCACTGACCGCTACCCTCCAGACCACTGCCACTCCCCCCCTCTTCCTCCCTGTTCGCATCCCTCCCTCTAACCTCCAGACCACCGCCGCTCCACCCCTCCCTCGCCCCCACCGCCTGCCCCCACTGAAGGTTCCACCGCCGACCCTGGCATGGCCACAGACCACCCATCTACCACCCATCTCCACCCAGACTGAGGGAGGACAGACAGGCAACACTGACAGGACTGGAACACCTGTACTGGTAAGAAGACTGATAAGAACCAGGCTCCCTCTCTCTCTTTCAGTCAGATCCACACACATGGTGCCACATAGAGGAAAGCTAGTGTAGATCTGTAAGATTATAGCTGTGCTGGAAAGATGTTTAAATGTTGTATTATGTTTCTCAGACTCTGGACACTAATGGAGATCAGACAAGAGAAACCAATGAGATTGATTATGATGAGGTAGAGGAGATTAGCATCCTGCCTGATGAGGAAAGGTTCCAAGTAAAGCAAGTGGAGAAGGAAGAAGTGAAGGAGAAGAAGGAACAGGAGAATGAGACAGGGGGGGCCAAGAAATGTCGCAAGACCATCAAGAAGAGGTGAGTTTTAAGTAGACAGAAGATAATTAAATAGTGGAGAGAGGGAAAAGCTAGCAGACAGATGGACACATAAAAGGAGATAGTAAAGGACCATGAGTCACAATTTTGAAGTGTTGCAGTAGTGTCCATATTGTTCCATTCTTGTCATTGGTTACTACCTCCCTCGCAGGTTTATCAGATGGCTGAGGAAGATGTGCTGCTGTGGAGGCTGCTTTCAGAAATGCTGAACTGAAATCTTCATCACACCACAGCCAGAGATCCCTTAAACACACACACAGATGTGCGCCCACAAACATACACACACACCAGGGATTTACATTTTCTTTCATCCTATTTTTCAATAAACATAAAATCCCATTCTGATGTTTGTTTTGTTTAGATTGGCAGGTCTTGACAAAAAATGAATATTTTGTCCAGGGTTGGTTTTGGGAAGGCTCCAAAGCTAATAGAATACAGTAGTCCTATTCATTCATTACAACTTTTTAAGGTTTAGCCTCTTTACTCTGGGAAACCTGTACACATTAGTCTCCCGGAACCAAGAGGCTTTATAAGGTTGTGCCTCACGGGGGAAGGCAATAACTTTTTGTTTAGGGTGTGTGGATTCACCTTAGCCCTCTTTAGGTGTGTGTGGATTCCAATGATTTATATATACACCACAGGAGGTTGGTGGCACCTTAATTGTAAAGGACGGGCTTGTGGTAATGGCTGGAGCGGTATGGTATCAAACGCATCAAACACATGGTTTCCATGTACTTGATGCCATTCCATTAGCGCCGTTCCAGACATTATTATGAGCCGTCCTCCCCTCAGCAGCCTCCTGTGATATACACATATATTTATATACATCATTGATGAATTCATTCATGCACTCTTTTCCTGGTGCACGAGCGCCTCCCTGTGGACACTCGCGAGCCCCATGTGCAGATGCTATAGCGTTATACAACCAGCGGGGGGCGGTAGACCTCGATGCCCAACCACATTGCTAACCAGTCGCACTCGTACACATTAAAGGACTAGGAAACTTAGCTAGCCATACAACATTTCAAACAAGGGGAGGCGACAAATAAGGAAAACAAAGGAGTTTCTAATCCAACCGGACATAGCTACAATGCCGTTAGCTGTTCAAACACATCGGTGGAGAGTGAAAAGATCGAGTTTGTAAGGTTTGATATTGTATTTGTGATTTTGATTTGTGACATTTTTCTGGAGGCTCTATAATGGGGACTTATAGAAAGTTCCATCTTGTTATGGGTGGTGGCACAGAACGGCCCAAAAATCAACTAATCCGGCAAAATCGTTAAGGCAGCAAGGGGGAGAAACCATCAGAGAGCCCGAATTAAAAGGCCAACTTGTGAAGAGGCGCTCGCGCCCTTTCACGCCCTTTCGCCCTTACCATCTGGTCACGCGTCCCAGTGATCAGAATTAGCGTGGGAATGACAATGCCACAATAGTTCCCATTCTCAGACGCCCTAAGCGGCGCAGTGGCCCACTCATCTTGGCTGCTTAATTATGAGGAACACAATCATTCCTGTTGGGCCAGTGTGCCTGAGGTCTACATCCGCTTTTTTAGGTGACTTATTCCGGATCTAGAGGCATATACTGTATATGAGGCACTTCACGCTTGCAACATCAAATTTTGTGAAATGCGCATTGGAAATGCATAGAGAGGGACACTGACTGCCACACCAGCGACATTTTGCTTATTTTTTTAAGTATAGTATTAGACTTTAATACTGGCCAAATTGGTCTCCATCCCTCCATCCATCCTTCCAATGAAATTATCTATTTTCCATATTTATTTATATCGCTCTATTTTCTCGAACACCTATAATATAATATAATATGCCATTTAGCAGACGCTTTTATCCAAAGCGACTTACAGTCATGCGTGCATACATTTTTGTGTATGGGTGGTCCCGGGGATCGAACCCACTACCCTGGCGTTACAAGCGCCGTGCTCTACCAGCTGAGCTACAGAGGACCACCATATCAGATACAGTAGCTACCTAGATAGATAGATGGCTAAATTCTACCTCTCCATCTTAAGTGGTCCCATCTAGAGGTTGACATGGGAGTGAAAATGAATTCCTGTCCCATCTTGTCCTGTAATTTGTTTTCCTGTGCTGTCCTGATCCCGCAACAGTTCTATATCCCTGGAATATTACTGTCCCTTCAAGATAAAAATCACTCCCATCCCGTTGCGCGCAGAAATATGTAGGCTATTGTGTTTGTTTAGGAAGTATTTACAATAATTTCAGTAATGCAATATGCGACTGTGACATGTGGTTGTCTTACTTATTTTAGTTAAATGCACTGACTGTAGCCCTAAGTCTTATTCTATCAATGACCTAAATATAGATCGATTAAGGCTGGAGGATGAGGACAGAGACCCCAGCAGGATGGTCTGCTCAGCACAGGCATAAAACTGTAGCCTACAGCTGAGCACTGCGCACATATTAACATTTACAAGGCATTGACATTTACAACATGATCATCAAATATGTATAACCTGAGCGGCAGTACTGCATAAGTCAATCAAATGTATTTTCACTCTTCACCTCAGATGGCACGGTTTAGTTAAATACTCGAACAATTGGGATTGACAGTAAAGTTGTTGGGAGTTGAGCAGCTACAGTATGCCCGCTCTCAGGTTCGTAGCCTATTTGATTAAACCGCAGAATTTTTTACAAGCCATGTACTTCGTTCCTTTGTTGTCAAAGACAACTGAACTCCATCAAATTGAGCTAAAACATCTATCCTTGGGTTTAATGTTAATGTTAGTGATGGGTCATTGGCTGCAACTGATGTAGGTTGGCAATTGAGGCAGCCTAGTAACTACAGAAGCTACAACTGGACCTAACAGAGAGCGAACTGGGAGAGGAGAAATTACAATTTATTTTGTTATCGATTTCTATTAAGTAAACTATATTAGGCCTAGCCTACATTGTTGGTTTTCTTTTATGAAATGCTACACACATTACATATTTCCTCCCAAAATAGTTTAACACTATTCCTGTACTGACCTTTCCTGTGGACTGTTTGATACTGTCCCATCCTGTCCCGAACTTGACTCTAGAATTTGACTCCCATTCCTGACAGAATCCTGCGGGACCCGCAAGACCCGTGGGAGTCCTGTTCCCCTGTCCTCTAGTCCCATCATCAGTATCTTTGTCTATGCTAGTTAGCTACTGTTAGCTGATAAACTTGCTAGGCATTTCTCAACTCACCTCTTCCGAAGAACTCATTTTAGCTGTCTTCCCTCTAAGTTCTTTGCCCCTGAACTTGTAGCTACAAGTGCGAAATATAGGAAAATAGTTAATATCATTATCAAGTGTTAATTTGTCAGCAGGTAGCTAATTTGACTATTTTGGTTAACTAGCTAACGTTAGCGTTTGTCTTTTAGCTAGTTAGCTACCACTAGCTAGGTACATTTATAGTAGTTAACACAGTAACGTTCGCTAGCTAGCTACGTTACAGTACTGTACTTCTGTAATTTAGCGCTGCAAACTTGTTTATGGTAACGTAGCTAACGTTAGCTACTGTACATTACCGAGCTAACAAATTATTCTCAATATAGCTAATAACATAGCAATATTTTACTATTTATAGCCTGATATTCTAGCTAGCTAAATTACCTACCTTTTGAAACCGTTGTTTGGAAAAACAAGCCAATATAATCCGACCATCCACAGTTCAGTGACTCTAAACTGAGGTAAATTTCGCGAGCAATTGAACTAGCCCACTGGTCCGCGAGACAACTTCTGGCGCCAAACAAAGCCCACTGGTCCGCGAGACAACTTCTGGCGCCAAACATACAACAGCGGGAAAGAGGGTGGAAAATCACTGACTGAACTCTCTCTGCCCAGTTGCCACTTGCCAGTGTTGCCGTTGTTGTCTGCCCATGGTGCTGACAGTCCAGCCAGTCTGTCTCTTCATTATCTGATAGAGCTCAATGGTTGACTGTTTCTTTCTATGTAGAATTATACATTTAGTCTGAGCTGCCAACTCTCAAGCATTGGCCATGAGTCACATGCATTTGACCAAATTCTCATGCTCTCAAGGCATTATATCTCATGCTTTAAAAAGTACAGCGCATTAACCTTTCAACTGTGCTCCAAATCTATAGGATTATAATGATGACAGAACTATGTGAGCATGTATTTGGAATTTTGTGGTAGTACATTGACATTCGTGGTTGCAAATATGATTGCAAATGTGTAATTTAATTTAGCAAGCTTGTATCATATGTGAAAGATTTAACAATGGTCGCAAACTTGTAACTTGACATTTGTTCATACATTCAATAAGATTCGCAAGTATAATTTATTTTCAGAATTATTACAGGTCCATTTATGAGTATGAATATTCTGCTGTAAATAAAAAATACACTTGCAGATTTTGAATCTGCCGCACACAGAGTTCTGTAACTGTTGTCATGTTACCAAAAGATTCATGAACTTGTAAAATGTTTTGTAAATTTGTAGAAAGAGATTTGCAAGTAAAAATTTGATTTATGCAGCTCTGGGGGCAGGATCTTTTACTCCTGACCAATCAGTTCCCTCTGCCAAAACCACAACCACCTAACCATTGGCTGGATTGTTGCATCAATCAAATCTCAGGAAGTAGCTCCCCACATGAGCAAGAGAGGATGAGTGAGGTAAATGCAGTGGCGATTTTAGCATGTCAATCTTGGTGGGGCAAACAATTTTTTATTTTTTTAATGCAAGCCAGCAAAGCCACTACACAACCTCTTCCGAAGAACTCATTTTAGCTGACTTCCCTCTAAGTTCTTTGCCCCTGAACTTGTAGCTACAAGTGCGAAATATAGGAAAATAGTTAATATCATTATCAAGTGTTAATTTGTCAGCAGGTAGCTAATTTGACTATTTTGGTTAACTAGCTAACGTTAGCGTTTGTCTTTTAGCTAGTTAGCTACCACTAGCTAGGTACATTTATAGTAGTTAACACAGTAACGTTCGCTAGCTAGCTACGTTACAG